GCACTGATAATGTGTGGCGCTGCGCTAGCAGCGTCGGCTTTGGACTGTTAATGGCGTGAATGTACCGAAAGTGCACTTTTCAAGATGTTTTGGTATCTCCATGGAAGCATGGGAAAGGCAATATAATATTACGGTTTGCAACACATCAACATGCGCAAAACATTTTCAAAAAAATATCATGACTTGGGAACTGCTGGTGAGACCACCTCCCTTCAGAATTCCAATACACACTACAACTGCAACCTAGCGTCGGCCTAGCTGCCAAGTGTCGTTCGAGCCGCCCTGGGCTTCCCAAAACCCATCTCTACATTTATTCAATCCTTCCTGACAGATTATTTGAATGCAGCTCAAACAGGTGATTTCGTTGGTTCCCCGACACACCTTAAATATGCCCCTTGTGAAGAACTATTACTTCCTGTGAGCATGGACTTCGTTTATACTTGACAGAAGTCTACATGTCTCCTCAAGGGGTGACGTGCAATTCGACAGGATCTAGCAAATGAAATTAGCAAAAGTGTAAAATGTCCCCTCCGGCCAAATAATAGTGCTGGTTACTTGTTCGATTTTCAAAACCCTGAAATCTTGCAATATCCACACACCTTGGAGGCTGCTGATGGCAACCAAAACTGCTACTAATCAACTTATTTTTAAGAAAATCTGAAGCAGAAAACCGTGATCAGGAAGCACCCAAGCTACTGTAGTATGGGGCACAGGCCCCTTCAATTCGAGCAGGTTTTGTGAATGTTCTTTGGCACAGTTGCGTTATTGGACGAAAAATACAGTCATGTTCGTTGCGGCTGCTGGGGCGTGTCAGGGTGGGGAGGGGAGGGGTTGGAGTGCGCTGCGCCAATTCATTTTTCACCATTTGTTGTCTCTTACCCTCTCAAACAACTGATGGATAACGGGGTTGACGCCGCGCAAAACCATCCCGCCTGACACGCCTCTTCACTCGCAGCGAACAAAACTGTAGACACAAACAGAAACCTCTACTAAGTGAGGCAGTGAAATTATCCCCTCACCAAACAGTACCAAAAACAGGATACAGCAGTGATCTGTGAAGCGGTGGTGTAGGTACGACCCTTCCCTCCAAGAGAGGGTGTGAGTACGACCACCCCACCTAGATGACGGTCTCGGCACGACTCCCCTCCCCCCCCCCCTCCGTTCCCCAACACCTACCCACCAATTTCCCACATTTTCCAGTTTTTCATCCATTTTCATAGATTTTCCGTTGAGTGGAGGGGGTATATAGCCAATGTGGAACGAGAAAATTTCTTAGATTCCCCCAACTTCCTACCACTTTTTCCGGAATTTCTCCAAAATTTTGCTACTTTTGCCAAAAATTTGACTGTCGAGCGAGGGATAGGAGAGGGGCTGGCTGGTACACAGTACACATGGAACAGGAAAAACAACGATACACGCGAAATGCCAACAACCAGGAAAAATTTTTTCAAAACGCAGCAAATTGTTTTCAAAGGCACATACAACCCCCTCTCCCAACGACCAAATACGACCCCCCCTCCCCAGTGGAAAAGTACGACTCCTCCTATGTGTTTCACACAACGATGCTGTACCTCACCAGAAAACGTGGAGCAAGCCAAAGACCCCGGTTCGGTGCTTTTCCGTCCTCATATCCTTACTCGAATAATCTGGCTTTGATTTCACCCTACTGTTCGGGCTGTTTCTCCGATATCCATGGATTCTCCGTTTGTCTCCAGCCTCTCAGCCCTGCCCGAATCGAAATCCATTAGGGATAAAAGTATAAAAATATTTCACAGCGGGGCCTCAACCTCAACGACGGCCAGTATTTCTTGATTTCTTTCAGCAAGAAGACTAGCTTCTGCTTTTCCCACGGCATTCTATTTCTCTGGTTATTCCAAGTTTTTTCGTGCTGTACTTTTGCACGGACGATGATGGTGTTCACGCATAAAATAGTCACGGTGGGAAACAGCGGCCTACCTCAGAAAAGCCGCCCGCACATTGTTGCAGTATCCCACAGCTTAGAAAAAGTAGGCCCGTTTCATGAATCTACGCAATCTCCGCATGTCTGTACTCAAAAGCTTATGCCATGTCACAGTGCTCTAGAGTACACCAATATCGTGCAACCTAGCACAAGATGACGTTTACTGACGAGCGTTTCATCTGTGCTGAGTTTGAAAAGAACATGGACGCTTTCTGGCTTGGGAGGGGGAGGGAAGGGTGGGCCATTTTGCGCTATCGCTAGTTCCTTTTTCTTACTTCCAGTTAGCCATATTAACAGCCATGTTAACAGGCTCCATTTTAATGAGATCTGCAAACTTCCGTGAACCTGCGAAATCGCGCGAGTGAGCAATTTTGGTCACAGGAATTTACGGGTCTTCACAAGGTCACTTATACAAGCTTGGCAGAGTACCATTCCATGCCCCCACCAAGCCGAACCACGCCTGGACTTTTCTCCCTAGCCCATTTTACAATTCACGTATCTGTTACAAAGTGGCACTGTGTTCTAATTTTTGTTGTAAAGAAAGAAAACATTAATGCACAACTTTACTGATACCAGCGAAGCGATAGAGAAACGACAGCACAGCCGTCTATACAAAATAAGTTAT